TCAGGTTGGGAAGGATGGGGAAGCACTAATATCCGGGAGTTAAATTGTAGACGCTGCGAGGACCCACACTCTCTCCCTGCCCGGTATTGAACCCAGGTGTCTCGCTTACAAGGCGAGTGCTCTAACCACTGAGATACGGAACACGTATGAGATTGCAGGGCTACAGGGAGAGAGCATTGGAGTGGGATTGATTTGGGTAGCTTTTTTTTTCAAAGAGCCGGTATGGACGCAATCAGCCGAGAGGTCTCCTTCTGCGCTCTCTGATTCTGTGAAATTGGCTGTTGCATTCCCGTGCAAAATACTGATTCACAATAATTTACAGTAATTGGGGAAATGTTCTGAGACATCCGGCTGACTTGAAAGAAAACAAATGCAAGAAACGTTAGTACATATATGCCTAACTGTGTTTTAGTGAGAAATCTGAATATACTTATTTCCTGAATTTATCATAATGATAGTCTTGCAGTTTACTTCATTGCAGGATAGATTTCAAACCTGGGAAAGAAGGACATTCCATTTGAAATGTTAACATAGTGCTATTGCCTGAAAGATCACATCTGGATTCTCTTTTAGCCTTGTAACAGTTGTTCTCCAAGAAATGAAGATAAGGCTCAACACCAGTCACAAATCTTACCAACCTGGCTGCACTTAGCAGCAATTGAATGCTGTGTTGGAATATTGTTGGGAAAGAAGAAACATAAATCTGAAACACAGAACCACGAGAAAACTGATGATTCCATTAAATGTTCACCATCACCACTACTAAACACATCCACATCTGGCGAAACTGAAACAGCGACCACATCTGGTGTTGCCCAACTACATTGTGATACGGTTCCACCACTTTGGGAGATTCGAGTGAGATGGCCTCCACGGAGCCTGAACCAAGAGCCAGTGCAACAGGCAATGCCACAACACGTGGTGTGGATCAGACCCTCGGCAACACATCAACAGGTAATGGCTTCTCTTTAACTGATTTTGAGGAAAGTCTTAAAGTGATGATAATAAACAGAGGTGAAGTGTTTACTAAGTCCTTTCTAAAACATAAAATTCTTACATTTATTATAACATTCTTTGCAACTGGGATCCCAATCAATGAGTATCGGGGTTGAGCAAATTCCCAATTTGTAAAATGGAAGATGAGGGACTTGTTGGACGGTCCATGAACCAAATCAGTGATGTTGACAGAGCATCCAGGCTGGCACATGGGCAGTTCTTGCAGTGACACACAAGCCATCCTGGCACATGGGCGGTCTTGTCGTGACAGGGGAGCCAGCCTGGCACATGGGCAGTTCTTGTTATGACACACAAGTCAGCCTGGCACATGGCAGCTCTTGCAGTGACACACAAGCCAGCCTGGCACATGGGCAGGTCTTGTTGTGAAAGAACATTCCTGGTGGATGGGATGTTTCCAAATCAGTTCCTGTTAACGCTGCAAACCAAAGCGCTTATCGGTAGTGGACACAGCCCATATGTATTTGGATGATACTCAAATCTACTTCTCCGCTCCCCCATCTCCTCCAGTTGCATCTCTCAGGCCACCAATGCCCTGTTAGTTTGTCTGGAGGTTTTCAAGGCCTGGTTGTGCACAAACTTCCTGGAGCTGAACACTGGCACAATGAAAGCCATAATCTTTGGCTCCTGCCAGCATTTTCTTTCCTGTGGGTCCGAACGCCTCAACCTCCATGGGCTCTCCATCAAACACACCAAACCCGTATGTATGCGAGGAGTTAGGTTCAATCCATAACTTTCCTTTCTCCCCCATATCCAATCCCTGACCAGGACTGTTTGTTCCTCCCCTGCCACATTCCCTGCCTCTGTCTCACACCAACAGCAGCCAAAACCCTCATTCACGCCTTTGTCACATCACGGCTGGACATTTCAAATGCCATCCCTGCTGATCTGCTTAGTTACATCATAAACAATATTTAATTAACTCCGCCAGATGCATATTAAACCACAGAAAACTCAGAACGTCAATCACACCAGTCCTTGCCAGGCCGCAATGGCTCCCAATTTTTGAACCGATCGACTTTACGGTCCTCGCTCTCGTCTTCAAAAGCATAGATTTTCCCTGCAGCTCCCTACCTTTCCCACTTCCTCAACCCCACTCCACCACCCAAAGGATACAGAGGATATAAGTTTAAGTCTCGCCATGGGGTTTGAATCTGAAATCTTCTGACTCTGGCAGGAATAAGTTCAGGTTAATAGATTTAAAAGAGGTTTTCAAAAGTAATCGTAGTTTTGATAGAGTGGAGTCGGAGAAACAGTTTCCTCTGCAGGTTGGTCCGGTAGCCAGGGGACACATATTTAAAATAATTGGATTCCTGAAGTGAATTGTCAACCTGGTCTATGTGGTCAAAGCCCTGATGTGGAGTTTGTTCCCACAACCTTCTGTCTCAAGAGCGACAATGATACCAACGGAGCCAGGATGTCAGCTGTCTGGTGCTCATTCAAACTAATAATACTAACTCTATTCAAACAGGTGCCAGTCTAATGGGTGAAGCCACTATTGATCGAAGTGAACCAGATGTCCCCAGTGACCTGATAGGTATGTGACATATAATCGCCTGAAAATCTACCGTTGTGTGAGTGTAATTCAGATTGTTTAACCCTTGTTTGCCTGGCTCAGTTGGTGTCCTCTTGTCTCGGAGTCAGAGGTTGTGGGTTCAAGTTCACATCAACAGGACAAGTTGACACTCCAGTGTCATTTCTGGCATGTGCTGCATTGTCTCGGAGATGCCACCATTGGGATACTAAAAGAGGCCCTATCTCTGTTTTCAGGTGGACATTAAAAACCGCATGACACCATTTGAAAAGAGAAGTGAGTTTCTCTGTCCCGGTTTCCTGGCCATAAATTCCTAAAATCCATGTGGTCAGTCACTTCACGGCTGATTGTGGGACATCGCTGTGCATAAATAAGCCACTATGTTTGCCAACAAAGTCATTAAACTACGTGGTTAATCTAGTACAGCGCTTTGGGCAGTCCTCCTGGATTGAGAGGCCCTACTCTGAATCTAAGTATTATTGTTTAATAATGCTCAATATTTCTTCCATTAACTTTATGATTATTTTATGCTCAAATCATGAGCCATTCAGCGACTGCACAAGGAGACGTTACAGAAACAATGTGAGAAACTGGAAGTGAAGACCATCCTGATAAAGGAGAAGGTGAGGACGTTTCAGTTGGTTGATCGCTACACGGAGTTAACAATTATTTCTGATCTCCGTCACCGGAAACTGGTAGAACATGAGCTGCTGGCGAGAGGCAGAGACCACGAGGAGTGGAGACAGAAGCAACTCCGGGGAGAGCTGGAAAAAATCCGAACTGATAAACTGTTCCACAGCAGCTTCTCAAAAGGAAGTCATTTACCTTCTTCTCAGAGAAGCGGATCTGACTCTCACACAGGGACTTCCGCAGTAGTGAGTGGAGTGGCTGGGATTGGAAAAACAACCATGGTGCAAAAGATTGTCCATGACTGGGCCACAGGCAAAATCTATCCTCACTTCCACTTTGTATTTGTTTTTAAATTCCGAGACCTAAACAGACTTCACGACAGAACAACGCTGAGCCGTCTGATCGTGGAGCAGTATCCTTACCTCAGAAGTGTTCTGGATGAGCTGTGGAAACATCCAGAGAGATTGCTCTTTATATTTGATGGTTTGGATGAATTCAGAGCAAGGATTGATTTTGCTGACAGTCGGAGAGACACAGAGCCTCAGCGCAGGTGCACAGACCCTGAATTCCTCTGTGACGTGTCTGACATTGTGTACAGTTTAATACAGAAAAAGCTGCTGCCAGGCTGCTCAGTGCTGGTGACCAGCCGCCCCACTGCATTACAGTTACTGGCAAAGGCTCAGGTCAGTGTCTGGGCTGAAATCCTGGGATTTGTGGGTGAAGAGAGAAAGGAATATTTTCACAAGTTCTTTGAAGATCAGGAGGTGGCGGCTGCTGTTTACAGCCACGTGGAGGAGAACGAGCTCCTGTTCACCATGTGCTACAACCCGTCCTACTGCTGGATCCTCGCTCTGTCTCTGGGTCCCTTCTTTACACGGAAACACAGCAACAAACAGCGAGTTCCCAAGACAGTCACACAACTCTTCTCCTATTATATTTATAACATACTATCACATCACAGTGTCAAGATGGAAAGCCCCCGTGATGTGATGCTGAAGATTGGTGAGATGGCCTTCACTGGAGTCTCCCAGAGAAACATTGTCTTTACTAATGAAGATCTGTTCAAATATAACCTCCAGCCTTCCCAGTTCCTCTCTGGGTTTCTCATGGAACTTGTGGAGAGAGAGTCTTCAGAGCACAGCGTGGTCTACACATTCCCGCACCTCACCATCCAGGAGTTTGTAGCCGCACTCGCTCAGTTCCTGTCTCCTCGTTCCAAAATCCGTGGTGACAGGGAGGAGGACGGCCGGTTTGAGATATTCCTGCGCTTTGTTGCTGGTCTCTCCTCCCCACGGGCAGCTCAGCCACTGGAGGAGTTTCTGGGGCCATTTGTCCATCAGACAACCTGCGCGGTGATCGATTGGCTGAAGGAGAAGGTTAAAGCTCAGATCAGAGACACAGACACCGTCACTGGGAAAAGGAAGCTGCTGAACACACTCCACTACCTGTTTGAGTCTCAGAATCAAGCCCTGGCACAGCTCACACTGGGCTCTGTACACACACTGACATTTGGTGACTTCTCTTCAGAGAAAGCATTGAGACTGACACCGATAGACTGTGTTGTGGTGTCTCAGGCCATTGGACTGTGTGACACAATAAAACAACTGAATCTGAAGAACTGCTACATTCAGGAGGAGGGTCTCCAGCGTCTGGTTGCTGCTCTGCACAAGTGTCAAGAGTTGCTGTAAGTTACTCTGTTTGTAAATCTTATTCCTATTATTCTTATTTCAAAGCCATTCTCCAGGACGTTAATGACATTAAACACCAGCTGATCAATGGGAGAATGGTATCACACAGCTGGAGGGAACAGTGGGTCACACTGTGATGGCCGTCACACACCACAATCCTGCCCTGGGGGATTGGGATGTGAATGGCTGACATTCCACTGCACACCTGACTGCTCCACACCCTGAGCCCTTCGGTGGCATTCCCAGGTTGCTGATGTTATTGGGATTGGTTCCTGACTCCCGACTGGGATGCTCACTTTATTGAATAAATTGTAACTTGATCCCAGGTCAGACAGACCAGAGCTTACGTTCAGAGACGCCATTCGGTGTTTCATGGTTATTCATACAGGAGATGGTTCTCCTGACCACAGAGTCTCTGACACACAGACACCCTTCTAACCTCTAAGCCTCTGAGCTTCCCACCAGCTCAGGACCCGAGGGCTCACTCTCCTGAACCGTGTGGTTCGGCCGGAGGATTCCTGTGTCCTCTCCTCCTGGCGGCAGCTCCTCCCTCAGTGCTGTATTCCAGGGTAAAAAGACCTCCCGAGGGCTTGGCCATCCCATTTATCCAGGGGCAGACACACCCTCTCTCCAGTACAATGTTATAACACTGATACAATATAATTCACCCCAAACACATCTCCCTCAGCCTGACATCAGTCTGACAGGTGTGGGCTCCCCTGGCCCTGGTGAAGAGTCTCCATTTCCAGCTCCTGAGATCTCACAGCCACAGAGATTCTCTTTCCCAGGTCTGGGGCTCACAGTGTTTGGATAACGAGAGAATAGAGAGATTCACTGCCCAGAACCTGGAGATTGCAGGCCGGGCTTCCAGAAGCCAAGACATTAGCCTCACTCACACACTGACTGAGGGTTACAGTGCTGCTGGAATAGACTCAGCGTAAACTGTGCTGCTGCCAGGACCAGGCACTGGGGAGATCCCACTGCCTGTAGCCCCAGCAGCCCAGAATGTTAAGGCGTCTTGTCCAGATAAGGTGCTGTAACAAATGCAAGGCTTATTATTATTATAATTATTGTTACCTGATGCTGTCTCTTACACCAGCTACACTTTGTCTCCACAAACAGTTGTGTTTCTCTGTCTCTCCCACAAAACACACAGTCACTACACTTTATAATATATTCTTTCTCAGTCTCTTTTACGGTTAGTCTCTTTCTCTCTCTCTAAGTCCGTCTGTGTCTGTTCTTTTCTCCAAGTCTCTCTCTATCAGTCTCTCTCTCAGTCTTTCTCTGTGTCTCTCACTCTCTCTTTCAGTCTCTCTCTCAGTCTCTTTCTCTCTCACAGTTTCAGTCTCTCTGTCACTCCCGTAAAACACAGATTCGCTACACACACATATATATTCTTGCTCAGTCTCTCCCCATCTTTCTTTCTCTCTCTGTCTCTCCCACAAAATACACTGGATATATATCTCTCACTGCCTTTTTTCTCCCTTTCACAGTCAGTCTTTCTCCTCGTCTCTCTCTCGTTCTCTCTCATTCTCACTTTCTGTCTCTCTCAATCTCAGTCACTTACTGCTTCTTCCGTTGAGTCTCTCTCTCACTCTATTTCCCACAAAACAGAGTCACTACACTTTTTAATAAATTCACTCTGTGTGTGTGTCTCTCTCGCTCTCTCATCACACACACACACACAGTCTCTGCTTCTCTCTCTCTGACTGTCTCTCTTTTTCTGTCAGTCTCTATGTCTCCTCCACAAAACACAGGTATTACACTTAATAATGTATTCTCCCTCTCAGTCTCCCTCTCTTCACTAACTCTGTCTCAATTTCTATTTCTTTTGCAGTCTTTTTCTCACTCCTATCTCTTTGTCACTCAGTCTCTCTCTCTCTCTCTGTTTCCTTATCTCTCTCTCTGACTCTCAAAGAAAAACTCACAGTCACTTCGCATTTGCTTCCCTCTCGCTCATTCTCTGAAAGCACGAGAGACTGAGAGAGAGAGTAACTGCGAGAGAGAAAGAGACTGAGAGAGGGAGATAGAGATTGAGAGAGATAGACTGACAGAGAGAGGGAGGTGGGCAGCAAGAGACACCCAGACAGAGAGGGGGGGAGGCAGAGAAGCACTGAGAGAGAGTGAGAGACAGAAAGAGAAAGATAATAAGAGAGCGACTGAGTGACAGAAAGTTAGAGCGATATACCGAGAGAGAGACTGAGTGAGAGGGAGAGGCACTGTGAGAGAGAGACTGTGAGAGAGAGACTGAGATAGAAACGGATACTGAGAGAGAGAAAAACTGTGAAAGAGAAAAATAAGCGAAGGACAGAACAAGAGAGATGGACTGAGAGGGAGTGACTATGAGAGAGAGAAAGAGCCTGGGAAAGATACAGAGAGAGAGAGAGAGAGAGAGAGAAACTGAGAGAGACTGTGGAGAAAATATATTACAAACCGTAGTGACTGTGTGTTTTGTGGGAAAGACATTGGGACAGAGACTGGGAGAGAAAGACTGAGAGAGGAAGACTGAGAGAGAAAGAGACTGATAGAGAGACAAAGAGATAAACAGACTGAGAGAAAGGGGTAGAGACTGTGAGAGGAAATATAATTTGTAGTGACAGTGTGTTTGTGGGAGAGATTCAGCGAGAGACTGTGAGAGATGCTGATAGAGATTGAGCGAGAGGCTGAATGAGAGAAAGACAGCGACAGATGGAGAGCGAGACTGAGAGTTGGAGAAAGAGACACTGACTCAGGGAGCGAGAGAAAGAGAGAGAGACAGACTGGGAGAGATACTGAAAGAAAGAGAGAGATGGAAAATGAGAGAGTGATAGACTGACAGGCAGAGAGAGAGAGAGGCAGAAAGAGCTACTGAGAGATAAACAGCGAAGCAGTGAGAGAGGAAGAATAAGAGACACAGAGCGAGAGACTTAGAGAGAGAATGAGAGAGAGATTGAGTGAGAGAAAAATAGAGCAATGGACAGATAGAGAGATAGTGTGAGTGAGAGCCGGTAGAGAGAGAATGGGAGAGAAAGGTAGATACTGAGAAAGAAACTGAAGCAGAAAGAGAAAGCGGAAGAGAGAAAGAAAGACTGAGACAGATGGACTATGAGAGAGAACAAAATTGGGATAAACAGAGAGAGAGACTGAGAGCGACTGTGGAGAAAATATATTAAAAGCTGTGGTGACTGTGTTTTGCGTAAAAGATAGAAAGAGAGACGGAGAAAGAAAGAGGCTGAGAGACACTGTAAGACAGAGACAGAGAAATAGAGAGACTGAGATAGAAAGATTGTTAGAGGGACTAAGAGAAAGAGACTGATAGAGAGACTGAGAGAGAGACACAGTAAGAGAGAGAGAGAGAGACTATGAGAGGAAATATAACATAATGAATGTGTTTTCTGGGAGAGACATAGCGAGAGACTGTGGGAGAGACTGAAGGGGAGACAGAATGAGGGAAAGACAGATCGATAGTCTGAGACTGAGAGATTGATGGGTGGGGGTGGGGGGGGGGAATAGACAGACAGAGAGAGACACAGACAGAGAAACAGACAAAAAGAAGGAGAGATACAGACAGATAGAGAGACAGACCGACAGACAGAGAGACAGAGTATCAGAGTGACATACAGACAGACACTCACGCACCGACAGACAGGCAGACAGGCAGGAAGAGTGACAGACGGACGGACGGACGGACAGAGTGAGTGAGAGATTCAGAGAGACTCTGAAAGAGACTGAGATAGCGACTGAATGAGAGAAAGACACAGCGAGAGGCAGAGCGAGATTGAGTGGGAGAGAGGGAAAGACACTGTGACAGAGAATATATTGTGTATTGTAGTGACAGTATGTTTTGGGGGTGAGACAGAGACTGAGAGAGTGAGAATGAGAGAGAGTGACTGAGAGAGAGAGAATGACAGATACAGAGAGAGAGAGATGGAGAGAGAGTCAGAAAGAGAGATTGAGAGGGACTGAGAGAGAGCGTCTTCATGAGAGAAAGAGAGAGCGAGAGGCAGAGAGACTGTGTGAGAGGGAGAGAAAGTGAAAGCCAAAGAGAAAGAGAGGATTAGACTGAGGTAGACACGATGACTGTGAGACAGAGACTGAGGGAGGAAATGTATTATAAAGTGTAGTGTCTGTTTGTTTTGTGGACAAGACTGAGAGAGACACTAAGACAAAGAGATTGAGAGAGATTAAGAGAGAGAGAGAGGCTGAGAGAAAGAGAGAGATAGAATGTAAGAGGAAATATAACGTATAGTACTCTGTGTTTTCTGAGAGACACAGAGAGAGATAGAATGAGAAAGACTGAGACAAAAATATATTATGAGGTGCAGTGACTGTTTTGTGGGAGAGGCAATGAGAACATGTGAGAGTGACTGTCAGACAGACGGGGACTGAGACTGTAAGAGGCTGATAAAGAGAGAGACAGAGTCAGAAAGAGAGAATGAGAGCGACAGAGCGAGAGACAGAGATAGATTAAGTGAGAGAAGAACAGAGTCAGAGATAGCGAGAGAGGCTCAGAGAGAAACGGAGTGAGACACTGGGAGAGAAACGGAGAGCGAGAGGTAGACTGAGAGAGGGGGTGAGTGTGAACATATTCTAAAGTGTAGTGACTTTCTTCTTGTGAGACAGAGAGAGACTGAGAGAAAAAGAGAGAGATAAAAAGAATGAGTTAGAGAAAGAGAGACTGAGAGAGAGAGTCTCAGAAGGAGAGTGAGAGATAATATGAAAGTGACTGTGTAAGAAAATATATTATAAAGTGCAGTTACTGTGTTTTGTAGGAGAGACAGAGAGAAAGAATCAGAGAGGGAGACTGGGTTAGAGAGACAGAGACTGAGAGAGACTGATAGGCAGAGAGAGAGACTGAGAGACAGAGAGAGAGACTCAGATGGAGAGTGAGAGATAGTATGAAAGTGACTGTAAAAGAAAATATATTATTAAGTGTAGTTACTGTGTTTTGTGTGAGAGACAGAGAGAAAGAATCTGAGAGGGAGACTGAGTTAGAGAGAGAGAGAGACTGAGAGGCAGAGAGAGAGACTCTGAGTTAGATACAGAGAGACTGAGTTAGAGATAAAGGGAGATTGAGAGAGAGAGAGAGAGAGAGAGAGAGCGAGCGATTCAGAGCAAGAGACTGAGAGGAAGAGAGACTGAGAAAGACTGAAAATATATTATAAAGTGCAGTGCCTGTGTTTCATGGGAGAGATAGAGAGACTGACTTACAGTCGTGGAGTCCTGCAGCTCAGTGGTTAAAGCGCTCGTTTTGCAAGTGAGAGACCTGAGTTCAATTCCAGGCAGAGGGCGAAACCTTGGGCAAGTTTCCTTACTCCACACAGAGCCTAATAATAATCCCTCCAAAACCAAAAACTCAATAATAAATTGGTCATTTTCAATCTACGACTGTTTGTGTGACATTGATGTGCGCAATTGGCTGCCGCGTTCGCCCACAAATATACAGTCAATTCACTTTACAGTATATTCTGTTAAGCGCTTTGGGACGTCCTCCCGAAGTGAAAAGCGCCATATCAAATGCAAGGATTATTATTATTATTATTACAGAGAAAGATCGAGAAAGAGTGACTGAGAGAGAGAGAGATTGGGAGAGAATATGAGAGAAAATATATTACAAAGTGTTGTGATTGTATTTTGTGGAGGGTGAGATACAGAGAGTGAGACAATGAGAGAGACAGAGCGAGAGAGAGTCAGTGAGCGACTGAGAGAGAGAATGGGATCGACCATAAACGTGAGAGTGACTACGAGAGAGAGAGCACAACAGAAAGTAAAACTGAGAGAGCGACAGAGAGAAAATCTGAGAGAGAGAGAGACAGTGAGAGAAAATATTTTAAAGTGTATTGACTGTGTGTTTTGTTGGAGTAACGGAGAAAGACTGGGAGCGAGAGAGAGCGCGCGAGAGAGAGAGAGAGAGAGAGAGAGAGAGAGAGAAAGGGAGAAACCGCGGGAGAGACGGAGAAAGGGATTCTGAGAGAGATTGAGAAAGCGATAGACAGAGTGAGAGAGAGACTGAGCGACAGCCTCGAGAGCCCGAGAGAAAGAGAGAGCGAGGGAGAGTCTTACTGTGGGAGAGAGAGAGAGATTGAGAGAAAGAGAGACTGAGAGGGAGAGAAACAGACTGTGTAGAACATATATTATCAAGCGTAGTGACTTTGAATTATGTGGGAAAGACAGTGAGAGACTGTGAATGAGAGAGAGAGAGAGACTGAGGTGGGTAGAGAGAATGTGAGGAAGATAGAGACTGAGAAACACTGAGAAAATATACTGTATAGTGTCGTGAATGTGTTTTTCAGAGATAGAGTGACCGAGAGAGAAACTGACAGAGAGGGAGACATAGAGAGAGAGAGGGAGAGACATAAACAGAAAGAAAGACTGAGAGAGAGAGAGAGAGAGATACTGTCAGAGAAAATAAAATATAAAATGCAGTGACTATGCTTTGAGGAGACACGGAGAGAGAGAGAGACTGTGACAGATAGAGAGAGAATGAGAGAGAGAGCATAGGAGACAGAGTGACTGACTGCGATAGAGAGAGAGACAGACATAGAGAGATAGATAGTCCGAGAGACACAGAGAGAGAGAGAGACCGAGAAAGAGAGAGGCTGAGAGGGAGAGAGTTAGAGAGACTAAGCGAGATAGACTGAAAGACAGAGGCTAAGAGAGTGAGAGAAAGGGGGAGAGAGAGAGAGTGAGAGATCGAGATTGAGAGAGAGAGAGACTTCAGGGCGAGAATGAGCGACTGAGAGAGAGGCAGAGGGAGAGATTGTGAGAGTGACTGTCAAAGAGAGACCGAGAGAGAGATACTGAGAGAGAGCGAGAGAGACAGAGAGAGAAAGACTGAGTGAGACATAAATGGAGAGAGATTATATTATAATGTGCAGTGAGTGTATGTTTCGTCGGTGAGACAGACAGAGAGACAGAGATAGTGACTGAATGAGATTGACTGAGAGAGAGAGAGATCGAGAGAGAGAGATAGAGACAGAGACTGAGAGAAAATATATTTTAATGTGTAGCGAATGTGTGTTTTGGGGGGAAACAGATAACAGAGTGAATGAGAGAGTGAGAGGGAGAGATTGGCAGGAATTGCGGGAGAGATAGAGAAAGAGACTGAGAGAGAGACTGAGAGAGAAAATGACTCAGAGATACAGAGTGAGAGAGAGAGTGAGGGACAGCCTCGGAGAGACTGAGAGAAAGAGAGAGACAGTGAGAGAGAGGATGTTATAACGTGTAACAACTGTGATTTGTGGGAGAGGCAGAGAAGAAACTGAAAGAGAGACAAAAAGTGAAAGACAAACAAGGAGACAGAGAGAGACGGTGAAAGAGAATATATTATAAAACGTAGTGACTGTTTTGAGGGAGAAACAGAGAGAGAATTAGAGAGAGAAAGAGAGAGAGAGAGACTGTGATGTGTGTGTGTGCACATGTGTGTGTGTGTCTGACCCTGGTCCCAGCGCCTTGGGACTTGCTCCCCACGTGAAAGGCTCCTGTATATACATGTCAATGTGTATTGTGTTGTTACACTATATTCCCTGTGTTTGTGTCTCTGTGTCCAGTCTGGAGGGCAATAATCTGGGAGATTGTGGAGTGAAGCGACTGTGTGAGGCTCTGAGGAACCCGGAGTGTAAAATACAGAGACTGCGGTAAGTAACGCACTGTGTCTCCAGAGTCTGAATGGCTCCAATATCTCAATGTGTTTATTGTGACTGTCTGATCAGTGCGGCTGAATATTGTGACAGGAATCGGTGTGACAGTGTGAGGCCACAAGCCATCGTTTACATCAAACTCTCAACGTGTGTTAATGTGTCTGTGTGTCTCGGTGTGTGTGTCTCTGTCTGCGAGTCTGTGTCTGTGTGTGTATGTATATTTGTGTGTGTGACTGTTGTTAGAAACATTTGCAACTATCTCCAACAACGTTATAATGATCCGGTTCCAGTTTACCAATTGGTTGAGTTCAGTCACTATTTTCATATCAAAACAGCAGGTAATACACAAATAAATGAAACAATAAAGTAATACACAAGACACAAAACAGTACCGAGCGGATTCCTGTCACAGCACTGGTCGTGTCTCGCACTGCTCCGCTACCGATCCCGAGAGATATCTAACACAACTTTGTTTAAAGACACCTTAATATCTCCAGACAAAGCTGTCTTTTTTTAAGAAAAACAACTCCTTATATGGTTCTGTCTACAAAATGTTTCAATTCTCCGTTTAACCACATTATTCTCTCCTGATCAGTCCCTCAGTCCAGTGTGTAAGTTTGAACAGACATTCTGTGTCCCTGTAAGTCCTGACCGTGTGTTGCCATTGTTTTGGGCTCTGCCTTCAGTCACTGAGATTTGCCGCCTTTGCACTTCTATTTTATATTCTTCAACCACACTTTAACATTAACCCATTACAACACTGTGTGTATGTCTCTGTGTGTGTGGGTGTGTGTCAGTGCATGTGATTGTACCTGTGTGTGTGTCTTGTGTGTGTCTGGTTGCGTATCTGTGTGTGTGTGTGTGTGTGGCTTTCTGTGTATGTGTGTCTATGAATGTTGTTGTAAGTGTGTTTTTGTGTGTTTTTGAGTGAGCTGTGTTTTTATGGTGTAGGTGCGATTGTGTGTGTTTGTTTCTGTGTTTCTGTGTGTGTACTTGTGCGCGTTTGTTTCTGTGTATGTTTGTGTATGTGTGTGTGCATTTGCGAGTGTTTTTATGTATGTGTCAGCACCTTGCGACGTCCTTCCGACGTGAAAGGCGCTATACAAATATTGTTGTTGTTGTTATGTGTGTTTGTGTATGTTCCTGTGAGTGTGTGCGATTGTGTGTGTGTGTTTGTGTGTGTGTTCCCAACTCTTCCCTTCACAAACTGCAGATCATCCAAAAACTGCAGCTCCTGTACTCCCACACACCAGGCTCGCCGACCCCATCACTCCCCCCCTCGCCCGACCCCATCACTCCCACCCTCGCCCGACCCCATCACTCCCACCCTCGCCCGACCCCATCACTCCCACCCTCGCCCGACCCCATCACTCCCACCCTCCCCCCCATCACTCCCACCCTCGCCCGACCCCCATCACTCCCCACCCCCCCCGACCCCATCACTCCCACCCTCGCCCGACCCCATCACTCCCACCCTCGCCCGACCCCATCACTCCCACCCTCGCCCGACCCCATCACTCCCACCCGATCCGCCCCATCACTCCCCCCTCGCCCGACCCCATCACTCCCACCCTCGCCCGACCCCATCACGCTCGCCCATGTCTCTCCGTTGTCCAGAACATCAAGTTCAAGATCCTTGTCCTCACCTTTAAGGCCATCCATGGCCTCGCCCCCTCCTCCCCTCTCTGACCTGCTGACTCCCTAACAACCTGCCTACTCCCTCCGTCCAGTGGGCTCCGGGCTGCTCCATGTCTCCCCCCCGACCCGCCCTCCCATCGGTGTCCGGGCTTTCAGCCTCTCTGCCCCACACTCTGGGACTCCATCCCACGGTCCCTTCGCCTCGCTTCCTCCCTTGTCTCCTTCAAGGCCGGTCTTCAGACCCTTCTCTACTACCGTGCCTTTGATCTCCCTCCCACTTTTCTGCCTTCCCCCAACCCTCCCACACCGATCCCACCACTCACCCCTTCCCTACCTCTGCCCCATGCTCGGTCCCCGACCCCCGACAGTTCACCGCTTTCGGAAGTCCTCCGGACGTGAAGGGAGTTCTGTAATTGTCATTTTGTTGATGTTGTGTGTTTGTGTTCGTGTTTGTGTGCGTGTAAGTGTGTATGTGTGTTTTTGAGTGTATCTGTGTGTTTGAGAGTTTGTATGTGTATTTATGTGTGTTTTTGCATTTGTTTGCGTGAGTGTGTGTATGTGTGTACGTGTATTGATGTGTGTGTGTGTGTGTTTTTGTGTGTTTTTGTATTTGTGTGTGCTTGCGTGTAGGTGCTTGCGCGTGCGCGATTTTGTGTGTATGAGTTTGTGAGTGTTTTATGAGTGTTTATGTGTGTTTCTGTGTGTATTTGTGTGTGTTTTTCTGTGTTTGCGTGTTTGTGTATTTGCTTGTGTGTGTTATGTTTGTTTGAGCGTGCATGTGTGTGCGTGTTTGTGAGTTTGCTTTTGTGTGTATTTGTGTGTTTCTGAGTGCATATTTGTGCAAGTGTTTGTGTGTATGTTTATGCATGTTTGTGTATGTGTCTGAATTTGTGCTTGCATGCTTTTTTCTGTGTATGTGTGTTGATATGTGAGTGTTTGTGTGTTTGTTTCTGTGTGTGCGCGATTGTGTGCGTTTGTGTATCGGTGTGTTTTTTTGTATGTGTTTGTATGGGTATGTTTGTGTATCTGTGATTGCGTTTTTCTGTGTGTGCGATTGTGTGAGTGCATTTATGGGAGTGTGTGTTTGTGCGTGTAATTTTGTGTGTGTATTTGTGTGTGTGTGTGTGTTTGTGTGCATGTGTGTGTATGTGTATTTCTATGTGTATATGTGACTCTGTGTGTGTGTCTGTGTGTTTCTGTCTCTGTGTGGGTGCATTTGTTCTCTGGGTCATGTAATGGTGTGTGTGTATTTGTGTTTATGTGTGTGTGTTTGTGTGTGATTTTGTTGAATTTATGTGTGTTTGTGTGAGTTTTTGCGTGTGTGGTTGCATGAGTGTGTTTGTGTGTGTGTGTTTGTGTGAATGTGTGCGTATGTCTCTTTGTGTGTGCCTTTCTGTGTTTATATGTGTCTCTATTTGTGTGTGTGTTTGTGTGTCTGTATGTATCTGTCTCTGCGTGGGTGCTTTTTCTGTGGGTCATGTATTTATGCGTGTGTGTTTGTGTGAGCTTTTGCGGGTGTGTGGTTGCCTGAGTGTATTTTTGTGTGTGTGTCAGTGTGTGGGTATTTGTCTGTGGGTCATGTGCTGTTTTAGTGTGTATGTATTTATGTGTGTGTGTGTTTCCGTGTGTGTGTGTCTATCTGTGTATGTCTATGTGTGTTTGTGCATGTCTGTGTGTGTGTATTTGGCTTTGGGACATGTGTTCGTGTGCGTGTACGTGCATTTATGTGTGTGGTTGTGTGGGATTTTGTTTATGTTTGTATGTGTGCGTGTGATTGTTTGTGTATGTGTATTTATGTGTGCGTGTTTGCATGTGATTTTGTGTGTCTGTATTTATTTTGGTTTTATGTGTGTTTGTATGTTTGTGTGTTGTGTTTGTTTGTGTGTATATGTGCGTGCGTGTTTGTAAGTTTGTTTTTGTGTGTGCTTCTTTGTTTGTGTGTTTCTGTGTGTGTGTATTTGTGTGTGTTTGCGTGTATGTTTGTGTTTGTATGTTTGCTTGTGTTTATTTCTGTGTTTACGTATGTGCGTTTGCATGTGTTTGTGTGTCTGTGTGAGTATTTGTTTGTGTATGTTTCTCTGAATGCGGGGGATTGTGTGCGTTTGTGTGTCTGTGTGCTTCTTTGTGTGTTTCTGTGTGTGTTTTCGTACATATGTTTTTGCGTGAGTGTGTTTGTGTGTGCGTTTATTTATGTGCATTTGTGTGCATGTGTGTTTCTATATGTATGTGTGTATTTCAGTGTGTCTGCGTGTGTGTCTATGTGTGCGCGTTTGTGTGTGTTTGAGTGTGTGTTTCTGTATGTGTGTATTTGTATGTGGGTCACATAGCGTTTATATAAGTGTGTGGGTAAGAGTGTATCTGTGGCTGCGTGTCTGTGTTCGTGTGTATCCTGGTGTGTATGTGTGTGTTTGTGTGTGTGTCTGTATATGCACTCCCCTACAACCTGTCCGGCATCAAACAAACTGTGAGTGACAGTGGGTGACACACACTGTGTTTACTCTGATCCCTGTTATGTCTCTGTGTCTCTGATCTCCAGGTTGGACAGTAACAATCTGACAGCGGATTGTACCGAGGATCTGACCTCCGCTCTCAGCACAAACCACTCACTGACGGAGCTGCACCTGAATAATAATAATCTGGGAGATTGTGGAGTGAAGCGACTGTGTGAGGCTCTGAGGAAACCGGAGTGTAACATACAGAGTCTGTGGTAACTAACGCACTGTGTCTCCAGAGTCTGAATGACTGCAATATCTCAATGTGTTTATTGTGACTGTCTGATCAGTGCGGCTGAATACTGTGACAGGAATCGGTGTGACAGTGTGAGGCCACAAGTCATCGTTTCCATCAAACTCTCAACGTGTGTTAATGTGTGTGTGGGTGTGTCCTTTGCAACTATCTACAATGACTTTAGAATGACCCGGTTCCAGTTTACCAATTGGTTGAGTTCAGTCACTTTATTCAGGACAGAACAGCAGGTAATACACAAATAAATGAAACAATAAAATAATACACAAGACACAAAACGGTACCGAGCGGATTCCTGTCACAGCACTGGTCGTGTCCCGCACTGCTCCGCTACCGTTCCCGAGAGATATCTAACACACCTTTGTTCAAAGACACCTAAATAACTCCAGACAAAGCTGTCATTTTTTAAGAAAAACAACTCCTTATATGGTTATATCCATAATATGTTTCAATTTCAATTCTCCCTTTAACCACAAGGACTTTAACCCTTATATTGCCATTGTTTTGGGTTCTGCCTTCAGTCACTGAGCTGTTCCGCCTTTGCACTTCTATTTTCGATTCTTAAACCACACTTTAACATTAATCGATGACAAAACTGCGTGTGTGTATGTCTGTGTGTGTGTGTGTCAGTGTGTGTGTGTGTGTACGTATGTGTGTGTGTCAATGCATATGCTTTTGTGTGTGTGAGTGTGTGTGTCTGTTTGCGTGTCTGTGTGTATGTGTGCGTTTGCCTGTGTATGTGGGTCTGTGTGCTTTTGTGAGTGCTTTCGTAAGTGTGTGTCTGTGTGAGCGATTGTTTGTGTGTGTGTTTGTCTTTGTTTCTGTGTTTGGGTTTGTGTGTGTGTTTTTGAGTATATCTATGTATATTGTGTGTCTGGATGTGTTCATGTGTGTGTCTCTGTCTATGTGTGTGTGTTTCTGCGGGTTTTTTTGTTTCTCTGTGTGTATTTGTGTTCGACTGTGTTTGCTTGTGTGTATGTTTGTTTGTATGTGTGTTTGTGTGTTTGTTTGTGTGTTTGATGTGTGTATTTGTGTGAATTTGTGCTTGCGAGAGTGTGTGTGTCAGAGCCTTGGGACGACATGAAAGGCGATATACAATGGTAATCTTGTTGTTGTGTGCGTTTGTGTATGTTCCTGTGAGTGTGTGCGATTGTGTGTGTGTGTGTATATCCCAGAGGATCGAGTTCAAGATCGTCGTCCTCACCTTTAAGGCCATCCATGGCCTCGCCCCCTCCTCCCCTCTCTGACCTGCTGACTCCCTACCAACCTGCCCGCTCCCTCCGTCCAGTGGGCTCCGGGCTGCTCCGTGTCTCCCGCCCGACCCGCCCTCCCATCGGTGTCCGGGCTTTCAGCCTCTCTGCCCCACACTCTGGGACTCCATCCCACGGTCCCTTCCCCTCACTTCCTCTCTTGTCTCCTTCAAGGTCGGTCTCAAGACCCTTCTCTTCCATCGTGCCTTTGGTCTCCCTCCCACCTCTCTGCCTTCCCTCACTCCTACCCCACCCCTCCCCCACCACTCGCCACCCCTCCTCCACCCCTCCCCCACCCCTCCCCACCCCTCCCTCCCCACCCCTCCCCCACCCCTCCCCCATGCTCAGGCCCCGACACCTGACTGTTCAGCGCTTTGGGACGTCCTGCCGACGTGAAAGGCGCTCTGTAAATGCAATTTTATTGATGTTATTGTGTATTTGCGTGTGTGTGTTTGTGTGTGTGTGAGTGTGTGTGCGTGTCTGCGGGTATGTGCGTGGTTGTGTCTGTGTGCTTGCACGTTTGTGTGTTTGGTTGTGTGTATGTGTATTTATGTTTGTGTGTTTTTCTGTGTGTGTTTGTTTGAGGGTGTTTTGTGTCTGTGTTTGCGTATGTTTGTCTGTGTGAATCTATGTATGTGTTTTTATGTCTGTGTTTGTATTTGATTTTGTGTGTTTATTTGTGTGTTTGTTTGTTTGTGTGTTTTTGAGTGTGTGTCTGTTTGTCTTTACGTATGTTTCGATGTGTGTCTGTTTGATTGTGTGTTGTGTTTTTGTGTGTGCGTATTTGTGAATTTGTTTTTGTAGGTCTTTGCGTGTATGTTTCTGTGTGTATTTGTGCGTGTGTTTTCGCGTGTATGGTTATGTATGTTTGTATATGTCTGTGTACTTGTGTGCTTTTTTCTGTGTGTGTGTGTTTACGTGTATGTTTGTGTGTGTGTCCGTTTGTTTGTGTTTCTGTGAGTGTGTGTGTTTGTTTCTGTGTGGTTCTCTGTGTATGTGTGTGTATCTCTGTGTGTGTCTGTATTTGTCTGTTCGACATGTGTTTGTTTGTGTGTGTATGTGTGTGTGCTTGCATGAGTGTGTTTGCGTGTGTGTCTGTGTGTGTGTGTACGTGTCTGTGGGTCATGTGTTTGTGTGTGTGTATGTATGTATTTATGTGTGTGTTTGTGTGCCATTTTGTTTATGTTTGTATGTGTGTTTGTGTGAGTGATTGTGCTTATGTGTGTGTTTGAGTGTGTGTGTTGGCGTGTGTTCGATTTTGTGTGTATGAGGTTTTGAGTGCTTTTGTGAGTGTTTGTGTGTGTTTGTGTGTTTCTGTGTGTGCGTGTGAGTTTGTGTGTGTGTATATTTGTGTGTGTTTGTGTTTATCTATGTATGTCTATTTATATGTGTGTGTTTGTTTGTACATCATGTTCTTCTGTTGGTGTTTGTGTGTTTTTGAGTGTGTCTTTATGTGCGTTTGTATGTTTGTGGGTGTTTGTGTGTGCGTGTTTGTCAGTCTGTTTTCGTGTACGTTTGTTTGTTTGTGTGTTTCTGTGTGTGTGTATTTGTGTGTGTTTGTGTGAATGTTTATGTATGTTTGTGTGTGTATGCGTGTTTGTGCGTGCGTGGGTTTTTTTCTGTGTGTGTGTTTGCGTGTGGTTGTGTTTGTGTGCATATGTGTGTGCGTTTGTGTGAATGATTGATTGTGTGTGTGTGTTTGTGTGAATGATTGATTGTTTGTGTGTGTGTGTGTTTGCTTGTGTGAGTTTCTGTGTGTGTGTTTGCGTACGTATGTGTTTGCGTGGGTGAGTTTTTGGGTGTGATTGTGTATGTTTCTGTGTGAGCGCGTTTGTGTGAGAGTGTTTGTGTGTTTGTTTGTCTGCGTGTGTGAGTGTGTGTATTTATGTGTGTATGTGTGTGTCTGTGTGCGCGTCTCTCTGTTTATGTGACTCTGTTTGTGTGTGTTTGTGTGTATATTTCTGTGGGTCATGTGTTTGTGTGTATTTGTGTGTGTGAGAGTAAGTGTGTATCTGCGGCGATGTTTTTGTCTGTGTTTGTGTGTGTTGGTGTGTGTGTGTGTTTGTGTGTATGAACTCCTACAACCTGTCCGGCATCAAACAAACTGTGAGTGACAGTGGGTTATACCCACTGTGTTTACTCTGATCCCTGTCATGTCTCTGTGTCTCTGATCTCCAGGTTGGACAGTAACAGACTGACCGATGGCTGCACTGATGCTCTGGTCTCCGCTCTCAGTACAAACCGCTCACTGAGGTTCCTGGACCTGATGTCTAACTCCTTCACAGACGGCTCTGTCTCCGCTCTCCGCCGCCTCATACAGACCTGCACCAGTCTGGAGGGGATCAGGTGAGTGTTTGTGTCAGTGTTTAATGTGATAAACACACAGAGAAAGGGCTGTGTATCAGAATGGGAACAGTTTGAAGGGATTTATTTATGTATTAAACTGCGACACGAACAGTTTACAGTTTGTACCATTATCCCGTGGGTTTATTTCCTGTTTAATGTGTTTCAGGCTGTGGGGAATGGGTTCAGTTCAGACGGACGGAATCAGCTGGAGTCACTGCGGGGAATCAGAGCTGAGCTGTCAGTGATAGTGTGACACTGACTGAGGCAGTGACTGTCCACACAGTCTGTGTAATATGGAATATATTCTGGGCACTGTAGTGACTGATTATTAAAGATGTTGATCCTGATTCCTCTCCCATCTCTGCTCTGGGGACCGTTATTGACACACACCGCCTACGGCCGTGCGGGCGGCTGGAGAGCCCCGACCCTCAGTCACTGCTAAACTGCTGTAAGCGACCACAACTGATGCACTTTCTCTCACAGTCTCTCTCTCTCTCTCTGTGTGAGTGTCAGTCCCTCTCAGTTTATATATTTCCGTCTCTCTATTTCAGGCTCTCTCTTTCGTTGTCTCTCTTTCGTCTCCGTTCTCTCTCTCTCGTGTGTGTGTTTATGTGTGTATTTGCCTCAGTCAGTGGTG